TATGTATACAAATTACGTACGTATAAAGTCTAAGTACATAGAGCATATAGGGTAAGCTACGAACGACAATATATAGACTACTGTACAAACTGTATACCATAGTAAGGACAAACTCTGGTACACTGTATCATAATTACCAAAATACCAAAACTTGTTCATAGCTGAACCATTCTAGACAGCCAGCCATTGCATCCAGTTAAGGAGAACCGTTCGATTATACGCACCACAGGCTATTGCACTATGCTGTTTTCCGCTCTAAGAATCGATTCATTGTGAAATTTTATACTCTAAAGACTACGTTAGCACATTTTCCCTCTGTACTGCTGAAAGGTCACATACGTTTTGCTTAACTCTTCCACTTCGGAGCACAAATCCAGATTCCTTTCTATCTCAGCATCGAGTGAGCTAGTGGAAATATATGCCAAGACTAGGGACGGCAAATACGGTAATAAATATGATTATGAGCTGTTAAGTCCTAAAAAGTCAACCAGCGAAAACGTGAGGCGGTTAGCTTGTCTAGGAGAAAAATACTTTACCAACTGAGTGTAAAAATTGCCAGCTTCTTTCCATACTCGTGATACAGAGAGAAAAAAGTTTGGACTCATCTACCACCTGAAGGAGAAGTCACCTGTGGATTTAAAGTATTTCACAACGTTTAATTCCGTCTTTCACCGCGAAACGAGCAGCACGTTCTGCAATGCGTCCCTTTGTCAGAGATTTTATTTATGAACAGAGTAGGAAGAGTAAGATGAGAGGACAAAACGATCGATTATGGGAAGCAAATTCTGAGGAACGTAATGCCAGTTCAAACTCTTAGCAGTTCGCCATATTGAAAATAATTTTTGATAGCCTACTATCACGGTCTTCAATCATATAACGTTAATGAGTCATGCTCAAACCAAACACGATCATGGTCAACAAAACAAAACTTTATCCAACAAAAGAAAAATTTATCACAGACCTCGTTCCCTGCCCTCTGACCCATTTTTGGCTCAACAACGCAGATGCAGATAAGAACATTAATTCTTACAGCTCTTCGTTAATTTTGTGTTCATTCACAGACTGAGTGTCCATATCAGTCAAATGAAATCTATAGTTCTGCTCCAGTGTTTGCTGACGTCGCTCCTCCAGCAGCCGCTTCCTCTGCCCCCCGAGTATAGCGCTGACCA